CTCTCTCTCTCTCTCTCTCTCTCTCTCTCTCTCTCTCTCTCTCTCTCTCTCTCTCTCTCTCTCTCTCTCTCTCTCTCTCACTCACAATAAATCAAGACCACATACTTGCCGGCCAGGTCTCCAGCATCCGTTAGTGCATGAACTGACAGAAAAGCTGAGTGAGGACGCCGCCCGGCCGGTTGGGCCCAGGGGGGCCGCCCGGGTAAACCGGCGGGCCAAAAAACCGCCCAGATATATATAGTCAAACAGAGCTGCCCGGTAAACCGTAGGCAGAGAGGGAGAAGAGGACAACAAACGAGGGGCTGTGGCAAACTGTTTCGTCGGAGTTTCACTGACTCATCAGGAGGCTGAACATATATATTGAAACCGGGGTCGTTCTGCGCTCGGCGAGAGGACCTCGAATCTGCAATAAAATTTTGGTTTTTTTCTTGGCGGGGGGGGGGGGGGGGGGGTGCTGGGGTTGGGGGGCTGTCTGTGATGTGGCACAGATGCACTTTTTTTTTTGTTTTTTTTTTTGTAAGGTGTGTGTGTGTATACAAGGGGGTGCGAGAGAGACCCCCCCACCAAAATCGAGCCAGGCAGTGAATATAATGTAGAGCACCAGCTGGCCGAATATATACTCAAGATTCGAATTCAGGTCTGTATTTCAGCAGTTATGGGTTGCTCACGTAGCTAGGCCCTGCTGGTCTCTGCACGTGACTCTTAGGGCTTGGCTGCACCACTCACGAAATGTGCAAAATTAGAATGAATCTTCTGCCGAACGTGGCATAATTCGCCACCAGATGTTTTGTCTTTTGTGCATTTGGTGAGTAGAGGCCCTTAGGGCCACTGCAAGTATTCCTAAGAAAAGAAAAACGAGAAAAGAAAAGAAAAGCGAGAGAACAGAGAAATAGTGACCCATAACCAAGGTGCACAGACCTGAATTCGAATCAAGACTACATATCCTCTGCCCACCCTCACGGAGTACAAGTTTGAAGTGTTTCTCTGCATGACGTCGGGTCCTAGCTAATATGTTGTAGGGATCCTTCGGAAAAGAGGATGGACACAACAAGGACGTTTTTATTTTTCTACTTTTTTTAATGCACTGCATCACTTGTGCGTGCGTGCATGCGCGTGCGGCACCCCCGCGCATGAGATGCGCCGCAAGTATGATTCGAACACATCTCTCTCTCTCTCTCTCTCTCTCTCTCTCTCTCTCTCTCTCTCTCTCTCTCTCTCTC